CCACTGTAAACATGTGAGGCTTATTCCATGCCTACACTGCCCTAACAACTATCAGTGGTTAGTAGCAATGTCATACATCAAAAAAGTCTCCCACAAAACCAGAATTGGATATTCTGCCATTTGGCAAGAAGAACCAGCATCATTACCATTTCAGCCCTATGCAGTGCATAATGTTGACTTGCAGACAGCAGAATGGTCTTTTTGTTTGCTAGACTGCTAGTGGAGTGTGTACTGGGAGAGCTGGTGCTTGCTTTTCTGTAGTTGCCCACTCACCCAGTAACTGGTGGGACAGCTGACCTTGCTTGTGCAGAGGAGTGGATTAAAAACCTCGTATCTAGCTCCTGTAAGAGATCCTGGATTCCAGTTTTGAACAAAAGCACTGCAGTTCAGTTTGATTCCCACTTTATGCATCAACATATGTTAGAACTTATGCTTTGTTGCTAGTAGTTGATATTTTTAAATACTGTTAATGCATTTTGTAGACTTTTCCAAATGCATCTCTTTAGACTTAAGGCTAGGTCAGAAAAATACATTCTCATATGTATCTCTTTGCTTTCATTACTATGAAGTCTTATTGCAATATGAAATCTGTACTGTGTTGCAATATTTAATTTGGAAACAAGTAAATTCCTGAGCTGCTTTCATGAAGGTGTTAATACTAATTATTCACTTTATTGCACAACTGAATATTTATTAGTTATCATAATACTCCTCTATGACATCAACATGTTAGTTATGAACTTAGAGTTTTAAATACATGTTTTTTTAAAGTTTTAAATAAATCATCTTTTTTTTAATCTACTGTAGGGTTCTTCACATTGATTCAAAACTTTTACTAAATTATGTATATGGGCATTTGGTTCATGTTGAACAGGGAATATAGAGAGTGCTGATGAAACTATGAAGAAAATTGCTAGCACATTTGAGTTCCAGTAATTATTCTCTGAATAAATCATATATGTATATACATGCATGCATACAGACACACATACACTACACATTTCTGAAGATATTTTGGCAACCTGAATGCTTTCTTATATATGTTATTGTCATCATATGTATTTGTCATTCAGATGTTTCCTTTTATATTTGTAATCGTGATTACAAATGATTACTTATGTGTTCATTTGTTTTGGCATACTTTCGTACCCTTTGGCACTATCTGCAAAAAAGAAGCATTTGACCAACAGTGTGTACTAATATCCACTGGTTTTCACCATATTTATTTTTTCTTAAACACAGAGCTACAGTTTGCTTCCAATGCATGATGCAATCTATTTCACACTGTTCACAGTTTTGACATTGAAGCTTTTTTCAGTTAGGATGTTTATTTTGAACTTTTGTTGCAATGTGAAGAGTGTAATGAGGAGTTACTGTTTAGGAAATGTGCTCAGTTTTTCATAAGCAGGAATACTTCACCAAAATTGGTAGCAGGTTGCAAACATTTTAATCAGTGAGTCAGAAATTTAGGTTGATCATTGCTTAATCTTTTTGAGGGTTGGGATTGTTTTGGGAAGAAAGCTGCTGTGTTGAACTTTGATTAAGAAAAAAGAAAAATCATATGTTACTGCCTTTTTGAAGTATTTAAGAATTGGCTTAAAATTACATAGTTATGAAGTGCTTTGCTGAACTAGGCTCTCCGTGTAGCTGGCACATGGCTGACAGAAAAGGTAGAATAATTAAGCCAGTCTCTGTTCTCGTTTACCTGATTGCAGTGCATCTGTTAGCCAAGCAGTGAAAGCAGAAGCTGTTCATTTATTCTAGCTGTGCCCATTACCAGACTTCTAGCAATGATCCCAGGAGCACATCTGTTGCCCTAGGAATCACATAGTCCCATGGGAAACAAAAAAAAAATCATGATAATGACCAGCCAGTCCTGAAGCATTTGCGACATGAGTAGCATTGGAATGACTGGTGGAAGGAAAGAGGAGGTTGTAGGTAGATTTCCTGACCACAGGAAATCTTTTTATTTGCATTTTTGTCAGCAACCATCCAAAGAGACACTCTGTGCTCATCCTGCCCCCACCTCAGTCTCAAGTCTACTCTGATACTGTCCCTACATATACATAATGTGCCACCTGCTTACGTGTATATATGTCAAGTAATATTACTGAAGTTGCAAATAACATAATGTGTTTGGGTAGCATATTTTTTTTCCTTAACTGTAGGAAGCAGACGTTCTCTGTTGGTATTTTTGTACAATTTACTTTTTGTGAACAGTGTGTTTTCCTTTTTCATTCCTGGCCTGCTCTTTCCAGTGTCCATAATTTATAATCTCTTGCATATGACCTCCTAACACTTCCCAGCAGCAGCAGATCAGCCATCAGAAAGAGGCAATTAAGACTGCTTAGTCCAAAGAAGCTGAGAAAGAGTGATTTATGAGGAGTGTGCATTACATGGTCCTGTGCATATGCAAATGTGCATACAGAAATACATCCAGTGCCCTTCAGATGAAAAAAAAAAAAAAAGTTGAACGATTTTTCACTCATCATTCCTGAGCACCTGCAGTAGAACACATAGTTTTGGTAATCTGATCTCTGGCTGCATTTTCAAAAGTGAGAATTAAGTAATTATTAAGATTGTTATATGTAGAGAAAGGGTTTTTTACTGACTTTTGTGAGTTTTTTTTCATAACCAAATCATAATGCATACTCCTCATTATGTTTTCTTTTGGAAAGCAATTAAATGAAAATCTGTAGGACTAAAGTATCCTTTTTCTGTTCTTATCTATCCCATTACATATTGCTGTCCTAATATTGTTCCTACCTTATTTGGGGCCCAATCCTTCTCCTGTAAAAAGCAGGAAAAACTGCCAAATGCAAACCCCAGCATTTTACTTCATTTTTTTTTTGTGTGTGTCAATTTGTGATGATGCTGCAATTTAATCTGTTCTGTATCTGTCAAATACTTAATTTAATTTTTGATTACACAAAATATTGAGTGCTAATTAAGTAATTTGGTCACTGATTAAGACAGAATCAAGCTCAGCATGAGTCAGTCACCAGAAATTAACATGAAATTTCAGGTTTTGTCTGCAGAAGGTATAATGAAATCCTTTTTCTTTAAAAGTTTCAGATAAAAAGGAATTTTTTTTCTGTACCAAGAAGTCAATAGCAATGTGGGTCTGTGTACACTAGTACAGGTTTGTGAGTGGTGTAGGTAGACAGCCTTGCAAGATTGTTTCCATGTTTTGTGATATTTTGGCATTTATGATGTTTGTGATTATGAATTTCTCCTTAATCTTTATTTTGATGGTTTTATTTCAAATTGTTGAAATATGCAGGGAGTTTCTAATGCAACAACTGTCTCTCCTTGGCAGCATATTTTTTGTATATTTTATATAAGTGCTTACAAAACTTAGATGTTACAGCTAATTTTACAAATACTCTGGTTACTGAAGTCTAATGAGGAGGTCTGGGTTTTGGTTAATATTAATGCATCAATTCAGTAATAATCCCTTAAACAGTTTTAAAACTCTGTTTCAGAAAATACTGATATCCTGGCAGGGCAGTAATGTATGTATATGTAGATTGCATGTAGTTGAACAAACAGTTATTTTTACCTCATTTTCGCCTTGTGATACCTTTATATTATATATGTTTTGCAAAAAAGTAATAGACAAAACTATTAGTATTTTAATAAATACCACTAATATTTACCATGGTATGTTTGTATAATATACTACCAGTATTTTCATCAGAATCAGCTCCTCTCTTTTCCCTTCCTTCTCCTCAAGTTTTATCTTAGGTAACAGCAATACTTGAGATTTTAGTCAGTGAAGAACAGCATTGAGATTGTGTCTGATGCATCCCCAATGTGTTGAAAGCAGCACTGAGGAGGCATCATGGTTATTGCCACTATATGTGACAATAACTGTTGAAAGGTGCCCCTTTGAAAGGCGGATATTTTAGGCAAGAGAGTAAGAGCCATCACTTGGATCTAACATCCAGAATCCCATTTGTTCCACTGCTGTGAATGTTTTTAAAGATGCTTCCATTCAATTTTGGAAGAAGCTTCTGCAAATTGGTCAGTGCACAAGCAAGCATAGACAGTTGGTCCTTTAAGCTTTGCTAGTTGCTTTGCTAAGTGTCTGACCATTTAGGATATCGAGACAGTTTCTCCACAGACAGAGAGGGACATTATAAAGAGGCAAGTGAGTTTCTTCTTCGCAGAACACAGAGTTTGGCTCTGTGAACAAGAAGTTGGTGTGTGCCTCTGTCCTCCCTGTAGTGCCTCAGGGTTGTATAGATCTGTTCCAAAAGGGTCAGTCAAATCCTGAAGCCCTTTCTCCATACCTGATCCTGTTACATCAGCTCAGGTATACAAGTACTTTGTAGATGGTGAGAGAGTACAAGTATTGCCTTCCCAGTTGCACCTCTACAGGTGGGTTAGCCTTTGTGTCATTGTGCTAAAAATGTTTGTCTATCACTTTGACAGGGTGAAAATCTGTCCTTGTTAGGCACTGCAGAACCCAATGTTCATCACTGAGTTAACTCAAATGAATTACTTTGCTTGTGATATAAAACACCATTACTTGAATATGGTTAGATTCCAGTGATAGAGTAATTAATCTTCAAAAAGAGCACAACAGAAAAGGGACCTTGAAAGGCTAGTTTGACCCCAAAGCTTTGTTCTTGAGTTTTACTTAGGCTTATTGCTACAATTTCATACAACCTGTGAAAGTCAAAGGTTAATTTTGTTTGGCTTACATAGGAGACAATATTTAATTTGTATTTACTTTCCATTGAGTCTTTTAAACATTATAGTAGCAGATTTTAGTATGAGTCAGCCAACAATGTTTTAGTATGAGTCAGCCAACATGAAATGCTAAAGGGAAGGTTTTAATAAGGGTATTAATGTTTTGTTCAGAAAGTATATAGAGTTGGAAGATGTTCATTTACATTTAGAAATGAAAAATGTCCTTCCTTCTGTTTATGGTTAAGCTGATTTTTTTTATCTTTTATTTGATTTTAATATCTAATGTTCTTAATTTCTTAAAGCCAAAGCCAACTGAAACAGTCACAACTGATGAGTCTGGGGTAAGATTAATAAACTGACCCCAGTGGTTTTACCTCTACTTGAGTTTATTCTTTTTACCATGTCTATTTTCCACTGATTTTTTCTGTATTTTTCATAACTGTCTTACTACAAAGGTGTTATGCAGTGGTTTGCATTCATTGTCAATGTACTATTGAAGTCTACTACAAACAAACCCAATATGATCCTTATTAACAAACCAGAAAACTTGGAAATGCATGTGATGTGTGAAGCATTTCTACAGGTCCTGTGTTTTTAGCATGTAATTTTTCCTTTCATGTCATGCTTATCAAGGTGAAAAGGCCCTCAAGATACATTTTCAAATCTTACCTCTTCCACCTTTGCATTTGATGTTGTTTTTCTGGAAGTGTTGCATATTTGAGTTTGTATTTGGCTTGACTTCTCCATGATGCTCTTCAGAACTCTGAAGACAGCGCTAGAATCTCCATCACTTTTTTCCGTCTCTTCCGGGTCATGAGGTTGGTGAAGCTGCTTAGCAGAGGAGAAGGAATCAGAACTTTACTGTGGACATTTATTAAGTCATTTCAGGTTAGCAAAATTTATTTAAATTTGTTTTATAATCACAACCATTTATACACCAAATTTTATGAAGCAATACCCTGTAGAGTGCAAAAAACATTTCTTTTGAAATTCATGCTATCAATAATGACATATTTAAACATATTTGCATACTAATGCCAAAATAAACTTCACCGGTTACTTCAGTGAGTCCCAGGGTCATTCTTTGTTGTTTAATATTAGCTGTTACCATAAGATTTCTATGGTACTTCATAAAAAAACATTTGGTATATCTAAAAGGGATATAGGATAGGTTTGACAGACACTTCTACATATTATTAGATGACTACAAAAGAGGAATTTCATTTATTTTTTTCTATAAAATTGATTTCACAAGTGTAACAAGTAGATATTTGAATCCTTTCTCCTGAAAACTCTAATGAATGTGAAGTTAATGGACCTCTATAACTGTATAGAAGGAAGTATCTTTGTGTTGTCAAAATGAGTAATAAAAATAAAAAACTGCTAAAGATGATTCTTCCCCCTGGATTGCTGGCAGAAATAGTTTAAAATTAAGAATATTAAGAGTGACAGGTAATAATGTTTTAAGCACTTGCATAGGAAGAAAAACCTTGGAAAATCATGTTGTACAGAGAAATTATTTTTGTAAATGGAAATTGAAATTATAGTGTGGAATTATTAAAAGACAATGCACCTGTCCCGTTTCTAGGCTCTGCCTTACGTTGCCCTTCTGATAGCCATGCTGTTCTTCATCTATGCTGTCATTGGAATGCAGGTAACTATAGAATTTTTTTTTAGCCCTAAACAAAAGTACACTGTTGGCTACTCTGAGACTTGTTTGCTAAGATGCTTATTGAAACGTTTCCTTGATAGTGGTGCTATATATAAGGCAGAGCTTTCAGAATAACATAAAAATCTTTTTTTTGGCTATGATTCTGGCAGTCAGAAAATCCAAAAAGATGCAAGAGAAGAGCTTGGTGTGAGCTTATAGTATCTTGGTTTGCTGAAAGGAGCCACTCCCCTTCCATGTAGTGTGAAGTTTATTCCTATGCATGGATGTATGAAGGAATGCATGGCTTTTTTTTACTATAGACTTGTTTTGGGAAACAGGCATTAAAACTCCAGCTTTTTTTTTTTTAAAGTCTTTCCCATATGAAAAGAGTAGAACTAGTAGAAGAACCTAGCTAAAGATTTAGGCACAGCTGAGCCTGTGGATAATCAAGAGTGGGATATATGTACAAACACAGAAGGGATTTTGGTAACTTAAAATGTACTGTTGGGATGAAGGTGCCACTCCTCACACCAGCAGCAGTGCTGTGAGGGCAGAGTGGGTTCTCCAGTCTTAATAACTGGAGATAGCTAGACACGAGAAACCTGTCAGGAAACTGTTCCTAAAATCCATACTACTGGGCCATTTCTAGTGGGAGGATGGGACAGCTGTTTGAGAGGGGACTGCACAGACTGCAGGAAAGCAGCAGATAAAGACACCGAGCATGGCACTGTGATTGGGAGCGTGGTTTGGGTTGCATGGTAGTCTCTGTGCCACACATGAGATCTAGTGCCTGAGCAGCATGCCTGGATGACCATCAACACTTTGGCAGAAGTTCCTGTTAGGAATCCTGAATTTGGGCTGCAGTTCTCTCTCTCTCTTTTATTTATTTATTTTTTTTTCTTCTGTCCTGATAACTCCGGTTTTCCTGTCGTAAGGCTTTAGGACAGCTCTGCATCCCATAAAACTTCACACATGTTTTCTTTTGTTCTCAAAGTTGTAATGTTCTTCAAATCAGCTCTAAGCGAGATCCTAATTAAATGAGATGAGAAGAAATAGGCTATGGAGAGTGGTTTTGCTTCCTGGTTATTTCTCTTTATCATTTATCCAAAAGGAATTTAATGTTCTTACAGTCCAGCACCATGTATACAGACCATAACAGTGTTAATGTCTCTAAATTAAGTAACAGTCTTCACTGTATTGTAAGAGAATATAAAAGTATTATACAGGGGAAAAATAATGGTCTTGTGGCCAAGGAATTGCAATTTAATTTTGAAGAACTGAACTAATTTCCATCTCTGGCTGAGACAGGATGCTCAGACTCTCTGTGCTTTGGTTTCCATCTTTGCATCTCTTTTTCTCTGTTTAGTTTCAAGGTTTTCAGGACAGCAATTATTACTAAGAGTACAAGTATATACAATTTTTAGCGCAGTAGGGCTTTAATATCCATAAAGGACTCTAGGTGCTAGTTTAAAACAAACAATATTTTCTCACCTGGAATACATGAATATCTATTAGTATTATAATGGTTTATTGATGACAAAACAAATGATTAAGAATTATCTTGTACCTGTGATAAATTTCCTGTGTTTACATCATTATCAGGAAAAATCTAAAGATGGTGAAGAAAGTGTATTTGTGAAAGTGTTTTTCATACATACTGAAGCAAGTTTAGACTGCAAGGCCTACAGCTTCTGACAGTACAGGTCACTAGGATGAAAGTCAAAATCCTGTTTTATTGTAGGTATTTGGAAAAGTGGCCATGAGGGACAACAATCAAATAAACAGAAACAACAATTTTCAGACTTTCCCCCAAGCTGTGCTGCTTCTCTTCAGGTGAGTAAACTCTTACTTAATGCATCCCATTTCATTGATGTATGAAAAATGTCTGTAGCTTTTGACCATGGATTTATTAAAAATGTGTTCCTAAGTGAGAAGCAATTTAGCATAACAAGCACAAGCACTCTCTATGGCTGTATGCTGAGTGTCCATTGGCACGGCAGGGTTCTAATCAGGTGATACAGACCTAAACTCATTACAGCTGTTGTGAAACATCTCATTTGTGGTGTAATTGTCTTCAGGCAGAGCCCAAACATAGTAAGCCCTGATATCACTGTGTAGGTGTTGGGAAAGGTGAAAAAGATGGTGCCCTTACTGTAATCTTTAGAAGCACAGCTAGCATGACAATTTGAAAAAACGAAAGGTTGTTGCAAAGATAAAGAAATAAACTGTTCTTTGCATTTGCTGAAGAGATGAGAAGAAGTAGAGAGTGTAACTTGCAGAAGGGAAATACCAGATAAGCAGTAGGCGAAACTTTCTGATGGCAAAGGTAGCTAAATCTTGATGTAGGGGGATTATGGAATCTCCATCACTAGAGGGCTTAAGAAGAGGGTAAACATTTGCCAGGAGTGCTTCAAAATGTCCTGGAGCAAGCAGAAGGAATGACATGGAAGGGGATGCCTCTAAAGGTGGCAACCTTGAGAGTTCTCTTGCCTGTGATTCTGTAACTCCACTTGGCTCCTATGCATTGATATTAACCTGTTTGGCAAAGCTGGCAGGGCATTTCTTAACTGAGACCAAGGGCATGACCCGATGAGATCTAAGTCACTTTATGCATGTAATGACTTTAGCCTTTAAACTAGGTAATGAGCACAGCCAAAAATGTCATAAATATGTAGTTATCTTTTAAATATTTGAAATCATGGGTCTGTACACAGGCATTACCCAACTATGCAAAAAATGCAATGGCAGAAGTTAAAGACAATCATTTCTTCAGCTATGCTGAGGAAAAGGCAATTCATCTTTTACAGATAGATACTTTCAACTTTTATGACAGGTTTTCATACACAACACTGCTTTTGTACACAATACCTCTACTGCAATAAGTATTTAACTTTTAAATCACAGTTTGGGATTCAAATTTTTACATGCAAGCCTTTATGGTGCGTTAGTCTACCTTATAAAATGTGTCTGCAATGTCAGATCTATGCTTGTCATTTCTGAAACATGCTCTCTGTTTTTTTAATTAGTTCCTGGTCTGAAAAGTTCACACTCTGTCTTCATATTTGTGCTTGCACAGCTCCAAGCATTGTGTCAGAACTTAACAAATTAATACATCTTTAATCCATTTTGATCAAATAATGCTTAATTTATCTTTGTGACCTTATAAAGGTGTGCAACTGGAGAAGCCTGGCAGGAAATCATGCTGGCATGTTTGCCTGGAAAACGCTGTGATCCAGAATCCGATTATAATCCAGGGGAAGAATACACATGTGGAAGCAATTTTGCCATCATTTATTTTATCAGTTTTTATATGCTTTGTGCATTTTTGGTGAGTCTAGCTTGTGCTTATTAACAGAAATGAGCTTTGGCATTTTGACTTTCTTCTGAACTAGAAGAGTAGCAGGTTCAGAGAATGACTGAAAATCCCACATCTAAAATATTTTTGGAAGGTTCTATTTTTACACATAGAGTCCTAAATTCTGTATCTTACACTGATTTTTACGGTGAGGATGGTGAAACACTGGCACAGATTGCCCAGAGAAGCTGTAGATTCTCCATCCCTGGAAACATTCAAGGTCAGATTGGATAGGACTTTGAGCAACCTGGTCTAGTTGAATATGTCCCTGCCCATGGCAGCGGGCTTGGACTAGATGACCTTTAAAGGTTGCTTCCAACCAAACTATTCTATGATTCTAAATTCCCATGTACAAGATGTTCTTCTGACTACACATATGCAGGAGTAGTTGGTTGCACATTTGAAAGCTAACAGTCTCTTCATCAGCTATTATTTCACGCATTTCTCAATAGTGTCATTAAATATTCATTAATAATAAAGCTGCAATTCCTTTGACTTACTAGTAATGCTATTTGTATTATTTAAACTTAGTAGAATTTGAATTTGTGTCTCTACAAGTGTGCTCAAACTGTGGCACACAAGATGTGAATGATAACCTTTCTCCCTAATCCATGGCATAATGGATTATTTACTCTAAAATAATCTTTGAAATATGTTTTTCCTTATTGCAGGTGTCTGGTCTAAGCTGGTTGATTTGTTCTATTCATAGTGCTGTTCTTGCAAAGTGAGAGTGGTCAAACAGAATTTTGTGAACTAATGTAAACATGCATGTTCTGCTGTTCTGTATCATCTTCTGTGTTAACAAAACATACACAGAAGTCTTATTGTTGTGACATTGAATCCTATTAATACAAAAGCAATTTCCTGAAATCTACACTGTGTCAAATACATGTATCGGATCCATTCTTTAATTTGATACAGTGGGATCTGGCAAATCAAGGAAGAGAAACAAAATCGTGTTACAGGCTATGTCAAAGACTGGGTACTCTAAGATAGAATCATGCTCTGATAGAGTTTCAGTTAGTCTGTTAAATGGTTGCAAGTATTTTCTGTGATATTTGATTATATTTGCCAAAAGTCATCATTTATGAGATCAATTTATTTGAATTCTTAACCTGCTACCTTATAAAATTACTTTATTTATTGTATTTTTTTATTTCAAAATAATTAAGGCAGATTGTTCTTAATTACTTTTTTAGATTATAAACTTATTTGTGGCTGTCATTATGGATAATTTTGATTATTTGACACGTGACTGGTCTATTCTGGGTCCCCATCATTTGGATGAGTTCAAAAGGATTTGGTCAGAATATGACCCTGAAGCAAAGTAAGTTAGATCATTTCTCTGATAAGATTTATCTAGTAAAAACAATAAAAGCAGAGCATAATAAATTTTTTGGAAATGGATGTATGTTTGGTAACTGATGTGTGTTGGTCCTAGGGGAAGGATAAAGCATCTTGATGTGGTTACATTACTGAGACGCATTCAGCCACCACTTGGTTTTGGCAAATTATGCCCTCACCGAGTGGCCTGCAAGGTAGGTTTTACCCTACTTTCTTTCTAGGTTTCTCTCACAGTTTATTCATTTGTTCATTCAGTTCTGCCCCATATGTGTCACATATGCACAGTAATCCCATCTGTTCACAAGGATTCCTTCACTCTCAAATTTTCCTGTTTTTTTTGCAGGCTTAACTTAAACCAGCAAAATTGGTGTAATTTCTTTCAGAGTTCTCATTGGAGTAGTTACCACCAATGTAAAATTCTTCACAGAGCATCAAAATGAAAGGGGTCAATCTGTAAATCTTTCATTAGTCTATTATTGTCTCGTATGTGAACTACCTCATCCCAGCACTTCTGGTGACTCAGTGTCATATATAAGAGTACTTCAACCCAGTGACATTTCTGATTTCTCTGCAGTCCCAGGGAGAAGAGGGTGGTGGTTTACTATAACTGACAATGAAGTTTTGATACAGTACTTTTGCAGTCGCATTCATGAGAATATTGCTGCACATGAAAGGTAGAAATGAGATTCAAGGGTGGGGACTGCAAGATGATAAACCAAGCTGAAGTGAATAAGGGTGTGTAATACAATGTGCAGCAGTGAGTGAGAAGACTGAAAATTAAAGGGAATGTAAAATGATGTAGAATTTTTCAGGCATGATGTGTAATTTAGATGAGGAGTAATTGCATTTTAATGTAAAAGCTGAAAAGCAAACAAAGGAGATGAATAATTATTATGTTATTTGAGGACTTCAGAACTATGGCTATTGTGGTTTTAGCAATTTCAGTAGGAATAAGATCAAGCCTTTTAATTAAAGGATTGTTACAACAACACTGTCATTTGATTTTCTTTTATATCTGTTTTATAAATAGGTAAGTTGACGTATAAAACACTGGCTTCAAGTGGAATGCCACAAGGCATGCTTAAAACAAGCCTGTATCTATACGTTAAGATAAAAACATTACTCGATTGGACAATTTAAACTTGAATAGAAGAAAATCCAAGTCAGACATCAGGAAAAGGTTTCTATAGATTAAATAGTGTTCTTCTGGCAGATGGGGTCACAGTGATACTGCTCTAAAAGATGAACACTAATGCAGAGATGGACTAATCCAAAGAGGAAAGCTCCTTTCACTCTAATTCAGTGTACATAGCATAAGAAATGCCTGGCATCACTGAAGAGTTACCTGAGAAATGAAACAGCTTACACAAGACAGAGCAGGTGCTGTGGTTCTTCATGGAGCATGAGGCTGGAGAAATCCGTGGGAAACCTGGAACATGACTGCAACTGGAGTGCATGCTCTTAAATAACTGCAGTTATCCTTAATACTTGCTTAGTGTAACTTCTAGTCATAGCCAAGGACTGGGTTTCAGTGTTTGCAGATTAGCTCAATAAATAGCTCATGAAAACTATTAGACAGTTTTAGCTTTTATATAAGCATGCATGTGATGCATATCAGAAAGAAGCAATATTGAGTGGTTATTATACACAACTAGGATGGAAGTCAACTTTTTTTTGAAGACGAACAATTGTTATGCCTCTCAGTGGATATTACTCTTTGAATACGCCAGCTTTTCAGAAATGAACGTTACAGGAGGTTTTTTTCAAAACAAGCTGCATCAAAATTTGTTTTCCTTTTCTCATTTACAGAGGTTAGTAGCCATGAATATGCCACTAAACAGTGATGGAACCGTCATGTTCAATGCTACTTTGTTTGCTTTGGTTAGGACTGCTCTGAAGATAAAAACAGAAGGTAAGGTTCTTAGCTGTAAAGCCCTTACTGCACTTGTCAGAAGGTACAGTGATGAAAAGTTACAACTTACTTCATTCATTTTGTTGGACATGAGTAAGGCTGCCTTAGTCTCGCTGGATTTGGTTTGCTTTTGGATCATGGATTGTATTCACTGTTGCTAGGAATGATATGCTAGAAAATGAAAGGAAAGGGATAGGAGGCCAGAGCCCAAGAAATCTCAGAAATTATTATATGCTTTTACCTGGTCAGATAAAATATGTAGCAGTGGCATAACGGGAGTTCTACTGCAAGGAATGAATGAGTTCCCCTTTCTGTCCAACCAAGATGTTCCTTCCTCACTACTCTTTAACTTGATGCCTTGGATCCCACATTGATGGAACTGCAGCTTTTGCACACTTGAAAGCAACATCCCCAGTTTGATCAAGGCCAATTCTGACTGGGTGGAATGGATTTCTGTCATTTGCATCAAAGAGGGGAAAGTTTTAAAAAATAGTGGTATGTTTCAAAGAATTTTGTTTCTATTTTCATACATTTTTTTCATTATTTTACCGTCTTCTACTACTTTCTGTTCCATGTTGTCTGCTATTCTCAGCAGAATTTGAGTTCCACTGCCAATAACAAACTGATCAGATTAAGCCCCCTCAGGCATTGCTGTCATTTAGGTGAGCACTGCAAGAGATGAAAAACTTCTCAGTAGTCAGTTGCCTGAAATTTCAAGCCTGTACAACTGAGTAATTACTATAATTAAACAAATAAAGGCTGAGCTTTGGATCAAGATAGATGCGGCTTTTAAAGAGCAAGTCATCACTTTCTGCGCAATTTAAGCAGAAAGTATGAAGCAGTGACAGAGTAGAGCCAAGATCTGTGAATTACAGTTGACCTCTGCAGCATCCAGAAGCTGATTTGAAAGCCCCAGGAGCTCACTGTCTTACACCCTTTCTTCTCTTCAGCTGTAGTATTGTTGTCTGCTACTTCAGGTAGCTTAGGCTTGCTGCAAAGGACCCCTATCACAGTCTTTATTTGTATAGAGCTAATTAATATGCACAGGATCATTCATTGCAGCTGGTTGAAACATAATTCCCATCCTCCATTTTTGTATTTCATTGTCACAGGTAACCTAGAGCAAGCAAATGAAGAACTTAGAGCAGTTATAAAGAAAATATGGAAGAAAACAAGCATGAAATTACTTGACCAAGTTGTCCCTCCAGCTGGCGGTCAGTCTGATAAACTTTGCAGTATGCTATTCTCTGTGCATGTTGGTCTTTCTAGATTGTTAGGAACTAAAGAAAGAAAATTACTAGATTTTGCAATTATAATGGCATTAAAGGACAACTAAACAATAATAACAAAATAAATATAGAGAAAATTATATCTTGTTACATTAGATAATACATATAGGACTGATAGGTACGGTACAACTTCCTTAGATCAAAAAGAGAGGAAAATATTATGCTTATTTTCTTGCTTGAAAAAAAAACCTTATTAGACCTAAATCTAATTTTGATTTCAAATCATTCAGCAAAAGAAACTAATCTCAGTTTGTTTTCAATGCATTCAGCAAAATAAAATGTTTTCTACTAATTAAACTTGACAATGTACACTACATTATAGCTTATATCCTTGTACATGTTGAATATTTCTGGGAGAAAACTAAAAAAAATCTGATTGCTAGCTTAAAAATATGTTTTTTGCTAAATTGATAAAGCAAGGTGCTAAATTATCTCAGTTACACTAGTTTAAACCAGAACAGTTCCGTAGTCAACGGATGATGGAAATGGTTCAGATTTATGCCAGTATGACTGAGATATGAATACGATCCATGTAAAGAGATATCTAAATTCTAATTACACCAATACGTTTGCAAGAACTACAAGGCCGGTGTATTAGGTGTTCCTACATGCTGGAAAATGACATGTCAAATACTTGTTATATCTCTCTTTTTAAATATATATATTCTGATATATATATTTAGCCTTTTCAATATATACATTTTTATTAATATACTGTAGTGTAGGTTTAGGTGACTTTTTTACTTGCTTTTTCAAGTTTTAAAGGTGCAGGATCTGTTGCACTGTCACCCACACCCAGGATATATTTATCTAGACATCCAATATGCAGATCCATTGTAATCATCTGGTGTTTCTTGTAGTTTATTGTACTTCTATAGTGTTACGGCAGCTTTCAAGACTGATCAGACTCAGGTTTGGAAGCAGACTCAAGATCCCAGGCGCGATGCTGGTGGAGGCTGATCCCTTTCTGAAGGTGATGCTCTCAGTCTCGAGGGGAGGAAGAGCATGCTGGCTGCACTGCTGTTCAGCATGACCCCAGAAGCAGCATTAGCTTTGTCGCTGGAGGAAGCCACTTGCTATTGGCGTGGTGGCTGCCAGATAAGAGTGGGGATGAAGGCAAAAATCTAGCAAATTTGACTATCCAAAGGGGAACTGATACTGCACATTTAAAACAACTTTTTGTGTTCTACTCTGTTGTTTTTAGCCTTACACCTAAGTGCTTGCATGGCATAGTTGAATTGCTTTGTTACTGTTGTAACTATGTGCTTGAGCTTTTTCTGCAGCCTCTGTTCCTTTCAACTATGAGTCTTTCCGAATATTCTGAAGCAATTCTGTTTTAGGGTGGTGGCATGGAATTAGTGTTGCCTCTTGCCAACTTTATTCCCCTACATTTTTTTATTGAAATAGAGATGCATGCTTCAAAATAGCGAGCTGTGCCTGCCTAAATCAACCTGACAAAGAATCTGTAAAGATTACATTCCTAGAACTAATCTTACATAGTAACTCACTGTTAACTTCAGCTTCATTTCATTGCTGAATATAAGCTGTATATTTATTTTCAGCTATACTAAAATTCATTGCTAATATTTGTTCTGCAAATGTAGCTCTTCAGTGTAGCTAGAACGCTGAAAACCTGGATCACTGCTCAATTGATAGGAAACAGTATGGCTTCTACAACCCAGTATAGATAAGAACATGTTGGGAAGTCCTGAAGATTTACAAATTTTTGATTTCAGTTTGGTTTGTTTCTCTGCAAACCTTGTTGTGACTTACCTGAAAATTGTAACCCACCTAACCCATCTATATTGTAACCCACCTAGAAAAAAGAGGAATACAGCTATTTTACATCCATATGCTGTGAGAGTGTAAAATAGCTTAGTATACAGCAGAAATTAGTTTCTATTGATACTTAATATTCAATAGAAAATTGTATATGAAATAACACCAGTGACAGGTGATAATAACAAGCTGCTAGGAGACAGAAAATTCTCTTCAATATAAATCAGCAAAGCATCCAAACTCAATATGTTAAAATCTCTTGCACTTAACAGTATTGAGCAGTCTAGTTTATAGTGGTTTTCTCCAGTATTACTTTTGCTAATGTTACTGAATGCTAGATCCTTTGTGTGCTCATGACCGTGCCTCCAGAACACAAACAGAACAACTATTTGCAGAGCAGAATGAAAATAATCAGTATAGCATTTTTTTCCTGAGTTATCAATAGATGCACTAGAAATGGACAGTTAGTTAATTCTTGATACTGGTTAAATAACTTATTACTATAACTTAATTAAAGTGTTAATAATTAGCAACACATTTTCAGTTCAGAAAAATGAAACTGCTTTGCAAAAACATGGAATGTCTGTCAAAGGCCTGAATGTACAAATGACTTAACACTCTTAGGAGACTAGAGAGTAAGAGAAATACATAAAACACTCTAAAGATTCACCTGTATTCTCTAAACTCCCCAGTCTCCACCTGCAAGCCCATTTAATCCTGCCTAATACTTTTTTGCCCTCTTCCAGAAATTTCCTACTGAAATCATTCCTTTTGCTGTCACTAATTGTGATTATAGATTTGTCTATTCTGTGGTCAGTTATGCTTAGCTGCCTCCCTATACCTGTCCATATCTGGCTATATGTGTGTTACTCAAAAAACAACGTCAAGGATGGCACCCCTTGGCCAGGCTTCAGTTCTTGTGTGCATGTGTCTGCAGTACAACTGACTGTGCCTGTGAAGTACACACGCGTCTTGTTTGTACACACAGACTTCAGCATGCACAACTCAGCAAACTGATAATACATTCATCTAATGTGCTTATAAAAAGTTGGTGCATGTCCAGAGTGATCAATAAGGGCCCTTTATTTCTGCGTACTGAGATTTCACAGGCATTGTCATCTCAGGTACAGTCAGTAGTCGTGCAATGTCATAGCCTGATTTGAGACATGCTCTAAGTGCAACCCATAGTAGTATATGTTATATCAAGTCTGTCACTTCTATGTGCTTATTCTTTCTAGGAGCCATTTGCTATATCACTTCCTTAAAAGTTCTGTTCAAATACTTTAAACAAAATAGTGTAAAAGATGGGGAAAGGCTTATGTGGGGAGTTTGACCAAGGCTATGTTGCAGATCAATGGATTCAGCTAAACTAAGGCAGGCAAGTTTAGATTAGATGCTTTATAAGAGATCTCTTCCTAATACAAAAGACCATTAGTCTCCTGAGGAGCTGCCAAGGGAGATTACAGATGAACATCAAAGCAAATGTTCACAAAACGTTTAGAAATTAGATTTGTGGAGTCACTTAAAAAGCTTTTTACTGCTGAGACTGAATCTGTAGACTGGTAAGCTTTTCTTATGAGCTATGGAGTTCCTGCTATTTCCCAGCGGGAACTGGGCAGATTTGGACCTTTGAAGAGATGTCAGTATTTGGCAGAGCAGGCTCTATAATGTGCTATGATATTTCCCACAGCAGACTGGTCTCCCAACCAAGATATTTTAAAGCAATTATTATAATTATTTTTCCTTTGATGCATTTAAAGACAAATAAAATGCTGGGAGAATACATCCCTGGTTCATTTGTACTGAAGTTAAAGCCTGTCATCCTTTCTCACATGCATACAGCCCATTTCAGACATTGTGATGAGTGGAGCTTGTTTAAACAGTATTGTACATGGGTTGGATTTCCCCATCCTTTTTATTGATGTGAAAGCAAGTCACAAAAAGAAGAAAGTTAATTAAATTTAAATTAGCAAAAGCTGTCATGTTACAGGTAAAAACACTGTTAGGAATACTGGATACTGAGATACATTGGGAAATATTATTATTGATAAAATGAAGACACAAGGAGACTTTTAATCAAATGTTAATGTATGATGTTACAGTATATGACAATTGGTGAGAGACTTTGTATAACAATCAATTAGAGAAAAAGCTTGCTTACCAGAAAGTGTTCATATGTAAAAAAACCCAAAAACAAAACAAAAAACCACAAAACAAAACTAGAAACCATACAGAAATCTATCTTAAAACTCCATTAGAGAGTTCAAATATGGAGAAAACAATTGACATAAAACTAAAAAAATCCATACTTTCTAACAAAGATGTGTTAAAATATGTCTGGGCACGTTTGATTTTCCATGTTTAGTCAAATCACAACTGTACAGAGTAACCCAGATCCTGAGATGTGTTAAGCACCTGTCTGTCCCAGCAAGGGCAACTGGAATGACGGGACCTTACCTGCCCATCAGGATGTGGACCCTAACAGCGGAGAGAACTTTGATGCCTAAAACACACCAGCCCTCCTTTATGCATGGCAGTAGCCAACTAGCAACCATGTTGCAAACCGCTATCTCAGGATACTGAAAAAAATTGAGAGATTAGGCCACACAGCAGAAAGGGAAATGGCTAACTTAATGCCAGGTGACGCTAGGGGAAAAACAGGTGTGTGAAAACAAAAGCAATGTTTTTGAATAGAAAATGATTCCTAGTTTTCTGGCAAGCATTACTCATCAAGAGATCAAACTTGGACAGCTGAGTGATTCAATGGGACTCACAAAACAGGCACATACATTCTTAATATGCTATGAGCCAGGTGATTTCGATATCCTCATAAGGTACCCGCCTTTGAACTTTGAAAACTTTGAAATTTGGCTTTTGTTCACAACAGTGACTCCGTAAAAATGCTAGATTTTACTGCTCTTGCTGTTTGCCTATCTTTTTAATTGTACTAAATTAACTGATGGAAGTTATTTTCATTTCGATCAACATTGCAGGGCTGATACAATACAATAATGTGGGAAAGCACCATGTTGTTTCATATTTAGTATTGTCATCATCACCTATCTAGAAGGTGGCTAAGGACCACATCTTCACTTAAACGAGGGCCTCATAGAAAATATGTGAAATTGTAACCTCTGTGGGATTTCCTCAGAGTCTACAATCTCTCTTATTGGGTCACAATAAGATACCAGAAGACACAGCCCAACATGAGCATCTGGGGGACAAATAAAATGCAAACTGGAAGATGCTCAGGTATTACAGTGAGGGTATGACATCAATAAAAAAATGTACATAGCGAAACAGGCTGTGAAGATGTCAAAGTCCTTACACGATCAGAACAATGCTATATTGATACACCAACTAAGCAAATTTTGTTCAGCAGTGGAAAAAAAGAGAGATGTTGTACGAAGGACTTCTTTTTTTTTTATAGAGTCACTGTTATGAACATAAATGTATGTAAGTCATAGTAGCTTTTATTTTAGTCCATTTATTCCAAGTAACTAAAGCCAGTCTTTCAGCTTCTATGCATATACAAACATGGTTATGGTTTTGTTAGAAACTTACACAAACTTCCTTAGAAGTACATGAGACTTGTTAGAGCATTGTATTTTCTTCTTTATTAAGGATGGGTTCACTTAACTGACTGAGCCTAAACTGCTTGCTAAAACATTGCTTTTAAGCTAGTTCCAGGTTCCACTGTTGTAAGCTGAAAGCATACTACCTATTGCACCCATCATATCTTCCCCCCCAAATCAGATATGAGTGTACAGGCTATTGATAAATGTGCTGACTTGGGAGAGATCTGTCTGGTCTGTTCATTTAGATGATGAGGTAACCGTGGGGAAGTTCTATGCCACCTTCCTGATACAGGACTACTTTAGGAAATTCAAGAAACGCAAAGAACAAGGACTGGTGGGGAAATATCCTGCGAAGAATACCACGATTGCTCTGCAGGTGAATTTGTTTTTACATTTTTAACTAACCATTTTGTGAGCTTACTTGAAATAGCAGGTAGATGAATATTGATGATTGTGCAGTGCTGCCAGGATTTTATTTAGCTGGGACACTTTTGGCCCTTATTCATCAGAAAAGTAAAACGTAATCCTGCTATTCTGTCTATAACGAGGTAAGTGCAAAAAGTTACTCTCTGTGGATGAGTCAAACAGTAGCAATGGTTATAAATTTTCTTAGCAAGTCTAGTTGATAACATCACAATCTAAAGTTGTAAAATCAGATAAATAAAGTTCTGAGCTATCATTTCTGTTCTTTGTTTTGCTTAAACTGTTTATTTTCTTGTGTTCCTACAATGCCGTAAGCCAGTTCTTGGAAAACTTCCTAATATTAATTACCTCATAGTAAAGAGGTTTTTATATGGTCTAATTTTTCTTCTTACTTCTCATTGTTCTTTTCCTTTTCAGCATATGATTACTGGTGAAATACCTTCCTATCGATATTTTTTAGTATTTGCAAATTTTGAACTTCACAGTCATCAATTGCTTTCATAGGAAGCAATATTAGCATACTACCTTAATGTCATATACTTCTGTCTGTTAAAACAAGCTATCAAATGGAAACCAGGACAATAGATTTGGCCGTCTGTCTCTCCATGGGCCTGCAGCAAGCAGTCCATAGAGTATATGTCATCTAAAGAGTATATTCTGAAAACTTCTGTCTAGTAATACCCTTTGTATTATGAACTTTGAAACAGGCAAATGGAAGGCTGTCCTCAAATAATTCCAGACATCATACACTGCACCATTTTTATTGGATTGGGACTTTCTGAATTTCAGTTAATGCTGAATAGATTCCTAGGAACTATAAAGATATTTAATATTTCTGATAGCTTTTTATTCTGATGCCAAAATTTAGGAGTATGTTGTGAAAATCCCCTTCTAAAAGGGGAGAAATGTGTTCACCTGATTCAGATACTCCTTTCTTTGTTAGAAATCCTGCTGCTTTGTGTTTTGATCTAGCAGAATGATCTTTGCTGTCATGAGTGGATAATTTGTTTCATTCCTATTTCCTAAGAATGTCTCTGCTGGCAGCTCTGATACACGTTCTGTTCCAAGTCACCAGAAGCATAAGAGATGCAACAGGCAGAGAAAGATTCATCACGATTCTTGCTATTGATGTGTGAGCGCATGGCTTGCCAGGACAGTATGAACTGTATTTGCATATCATGACAGAATGAAAAATTGTGGGGAATGGAAGAGTTAAAAAGACTGGAAACAGTTGAGAGGGAAGTGAAAGACGCTGGATTTTTAGGAAGGACTTTGCAGAGTTCTTCATTGCAGAAGCGTTTGAGCATAAGGAGCTCAAAGTTGGTTTTCATAGAATCATAGAATCATTTGGGCTGGAAGGGACCTTTAGAGGTCATCTAGTCCAACCCCCCTGTGGTGAGCAGGAACATCTCCAACTAGATAATGTTGCTCAGAGCCCCGTCCACCCTGACCTTGAATCCCTCCAGGGGTGGGGCTTCCACCACCTCTCTGGGCAACCTGTTCCAGTGCTTCACCACGAATCGCTGCTAGGAATCTGCAAAGGCTTATGGGATTTGAGGCATAGCACATTTTTTTTTTCTGATTAAAACAGTGCTCCTGTGGTAATAAACTGAGTCAGGCTGGTAGATGGGAAGGTTCTTTCTTTCTTTCTCCCCATTTTCCTCTGTTCTATTTTTGTCTTTCTAACAAATCAGTAGTAACTCAACTTGATTTAAAAAATAAAAGTGGAAATGCCATTTCAAAGAAACCTGAAACCTATGGTTAGGAAAAAGCCCAGTCTTATCGGTTTTCAGCCCAGCATATAAAGGAATAATGTAATTCAATACTGGAAGCTACAGCAAGTCAAATTCGAAGTCAAAATGCCATGTTTGTTAGAATAATTAATTATATGAGGATACAGCTTTAAAACAGACCTGGATGTCTCTCTGAAAGAGATGTTCTGTGTTGACAAGGAATTGCTTTCTTCTGATCAATGCCCCCGAGAACAGTCCTGTGGGATGTGTTATAGGGAAGTTAGTATAAATGATCACAGAGGATCCTTTTGGCCTTAGAATGTATAAAAATCTGATGTCTCTCCATTTTCAGCCTCTTCATTCCAGACTTGCTTTGTCCAAAGCTTAAATGCATATAAAACTTCGATGTTTTCAAAAACCTGTGTTCTTAACAACCATTTTTGGCAGCATAATTTACGGGTATACCATCAAACCTGTTTTTCAACTACAGAAATTTTGTTGAATGATCTGTGAAAGGCTTGTAACTACAAAGAGGTTACTTCAGTTCTTGGAGAGCTAGTAGTAGCTATTTTTCCATTTATTCTCTCAAATACTCTAAGTAAACTACTGTTTGCAGATCTCTCTGGTAAACAATATACTAAGAAAAGCAGAAACATGCAGTATCACTCTGTCTCTCATCCGATTTCTTAGGGAAATTGTCATGACTGTTATGTCAATATATACCGCACTTCCATTGTAAACACTGAAGGAACTTCCTATAGCAATCATGGTGGACTTGTATCTCTATCACCCAGGTCATCCAGATGAACTTACGGTTTGTTTATGTATCTCTGTGTAAACTAATGATACAAACTGCACATACAGTATTAGCAGCACCTGACTTTGCTTACAAAGATATGGGTGGAACAGATTGTGAACAAAAAGAAAAGTACTAAATTAGCCAGCCTTCTCTCCTCCCT